ACATTAGTTACAAAAGAGTAAACCTAAAAAAAAAAAAGAAGAAGAAGAAGACAGGTTTTACATAATCCAAACTGGTACTGAACTCTTGATCTTCCTGTCTCTATCTCTCAAGAGGTGCAATTATAGGCATGTGCTGGAATACCCAGCCAAACTCTGCATCTTTTTTGTTAACTTAATTTTATTTATTTTTATTTATCATTATTACGATTATTGTGTGTGTGCACACTTGTAGAGCTCAGGAAACAACTCTTAGGAGTTTGTTCTCCCCACCATGGGCTCCAGGGGTTGAACTCAGGTTGTACAGCAAGCACCTCTTGCTGATCCAAGCCCCACATCTTTACTAGCATTCAACAGCATCCTTGTTACTTCCTTTTACATTTGCTCCATTACATTAGGTTTGTAACAGTTTTTCAATTTGGTTTAAATTTGCCTTCTCCTAATGTTTAATAATGAGCTTTTGACCCGCCCAGCAGGTCCTAAGTTATTCCAGGGTCTGAAGAGGCACTATCTGAAAGACATGGGCGGGGAGAGAAACGGACGCCAAGCAGTATTCCTTGTCAAGGGATCCCGTTTATTGAAGCAAGTTTTATGTCTTATATACTCCTCAGTGAGGAGCTCGGGAAGGGGGAACTGAGGAAGGGGGAAAAGAGGGAAGGAAAGGAGGGGCTCGGTAGCTAGGCAGCAAAGTGGGGCAGTTGCAAGGTCAGTGGCTAGAGCACCTGCTGTTAGTGATAAGCAGCAAACAAAGAAGACACTCTGAGGTGCCTTCTGGAAGCTTGAATCTCCAAGGTCAGTGTAAAACGTCTCAGTTAACTTTAAGTTTTTCTGTCTGAAGATTTCCACCTCAAGGCCCTGTGAGACTTGAGAAAGGAGAAGCCTGAAATGGCTCCTGACAAGCTTTTTTTTTTTTTTTTTTTTTTTTGCTTGGGAGAAGTGCCCATTCAACTCTTTTCCCCCATATTTATTACTGAGGTAAAGAGTACTGTATTCTATAAAATATTCACTTGGGATTTGTGACTGTTTTCTCACATCGTTTTTGAAGGGACTCCAGCCAGCTCGAGCACACAGGACTCTGGCAGGCCTTGCCCTTCTGCCCCATTCCCTCTGTCTTGCTAAAAACAAAAAACTGTTAGATTGCATTCCTAAAGCTAGCTGCCAGGATCTATTCCCTTATTTGTCCACTTCCTCCTCCTCAGGCTGACTACCAAGGTCCAGATATCAAAGTATTAAAGTCTGGCAATAAAAAGTCCCTTTTGATTTACCTAATTAACATTCCTAGTCAAAATATACCACTGCATCTTATTATAGCCCTTTCTAACACAGACTTTTTTCTTTTAAAAATTACACCTACAGGGCTGGAGAGATGGCTCAGAGGTTAAGAGCACCGGCTGCTCTTCCAGAGGTCCTGAGTTCAATTCTCAGCAACCACATGGTGGCTCACAACCATCTGTAATGAGATCTGGCACTGTATCCTGGAAAGTGTATATATAATAAATTAATTTAAAAAAATTACACCTGCAAGGTTATTTGCTGTTGTTTTCTTCCTCAGTCAGAAAGCAGACACTTTAACTTTTCTCCCTGACCCCCACCCTCAATAAAGGCTCTCTCTGTGAAAACAGGAGTTTGGATGTGGTTTGTGCCTAATCTGGGGTCCAGGAGGGAGCCTCCAATGTGTGATGATGGAGGGTCTCCTTTATTTTTCTTCATAGACTTCCTTTCTTTCTTAGATAGGACCTCACTATGTTCCCCATATCAAACTTTCTGTCTTCCCACTTCAGTCCCCTGAGTCCAAAGCATTATCGTATCCAGCTTTTTCTAGGTTTGTTTGTTTGTGTTTGTCTTGAGACAGCCCTGGCTGGCCTGGAACTCACTAAGTAGACCAGTTTGGCTTTGAACACATAGAAATATGCCTGCCTCTGCCTCCAAGGTACTGGGATTAAAGGCGTGTACCACCAAGCTGGATACCTTTTCTAATCTTAATAGTAATTTCCTCAGAGCAAGAGGCTTTGTGTGAATTAATTTTTCTTAAATTTTTTCTCTTATGAATATGTTAGTCTGCTCAGGTCACCATAAAAACATACCACAGACAGATGAGTTAAACAGCAGAAATTTAAGTTCTTAGTGTTGGTGGCTGGAAATCCGGAATTAAGTTTTGCAAGATTGGTTTCTGGAGCCTCTCCTGGCTTTCAGACAGCTGTGGGCTCCCTGTGTCCTCACATGACCCTTCCTTTGTACTCATGGGGAGGGAGGAGGGGAAGACAGAGGGAAAGAGACACTAGTCCCTTCAGCTACTCTGTGGCTTCATTAGCCTTAATTACTCACAAACCGATCTATAGATGGAGTCACACAAGGGATTAGGGTTTCAAAATATAAGTTTATGAACACCTATGATAACAACCCATTCAAAAATAGGCAAGAGTTTTGTCATTTCTGCAAAGACACACAAATGATTAATCAGCTCATTAGAAATGCCCAGAGCTGCTGGCCCTTAAAGGACTATAACCCAAGTCACATTGAGGTGTCACCTCGTATCCAATAGGATTGCTTGTATGAGGAAGCAAAACAGAAACTGAAGCACTGTGGGAATGAGAAGAAATGGAAACCTCTCTGCACTGTTGGTACAGAACAGCAGCTGCTGTCAGAGGCAGGAGGCCACGCCTGTGTTAAGGAAACATTCAGATACAGTAAAGAGCAGCTCCGCTCCGAAGTACAGATGGCCTCCATCTCAGAGGTTCAAATTACATTTTTAAATCTTTTATAATGCTTTGAAGCGAAGCACATTCAATAGGAACTTCACTTTGTATGCAGTGGTGGTAGTGTGTGTATATGTACGTGGTAGTGTGTGTATATGTACATGTTTGTGTGGTATGTGTATATGTACGTGGTAGTGTGTGTATATGTACGTGGTAGTATGTGTATATGTACATGTTTGTGTGGGTGTGTGCACATGGTAGCCAGAGTTGGCATCAGGCACTTACCTTTTTTTTTTACACACAAATGCTGGGGATCCAAAGTTAGTTCTTCATACTTGCGTGGTGTGCCAACTTCTCAGTCCCAGAAACTATACTTTGACTTTGAAATTTGGTTCTTGTCCTGGGCTAAATGTATGTGGGATAATACTCTCTTGTTTTATGGGAAGAAGGCAGAAAGCTGTGTTCCCTATTAAGCCACAGAAATATGAAGATAAACACCTCTATACTGAAACCCAGTGGTGGTGGCATACATCTTTAATCCCAGCACTCTGGAGGCAGAGGTAAGGGATCTCTGTGAGTTTGAGGCCAGTCCGGTCTACAGAGTGACTTCCAGGATAACTAGAGCTACACAGAGAAACCCTGTCTTGAAAACCAAACAAAAAATCACTATACTACAGGGGAGAGTATCTAATATGAGATACTTGTCACCTTATTATATTGCTTATGTTTGATTATTTTAGTCCTCTGTCAGCTAACATATGTATTCTGAAGCATATTTTGAGTAGGCTAGGGCCAGTGAGTTGGTTCAGTAGATGAGGGCACTTTCTGCCAAGAATAATTATCTGAGCTCTGTCCCCAGGACCCATTTGGTAGAGACAAGAACCAACTCCTGCAAGTTGGCCTCTAACCTCCAAACGCATGCTGTGGTGTCCACATGCCCACACAAATACATAGATACACACAGTAAATAAACGTAACTTGTTTGTTAATAATGTCAACTAGACTAAGTTATGATGTTTGGCGGGTTACAAGTATTAAATTTGATCCTGACATATAGTATTTCAACTTATGATGGGTTTTTTAGGACATAACCACAAATCAATGAACATCTGTATGAACCCAAAGGAACTGAAAGCAAGGGCAAAAATAGTTACTTCTGTGCCACGCCCAGAACAGCACTGCTTACAGAATAGGTATGGTGGGCACAACACAAATGATCATCAACACGTAAATGGATTGTTTCGTTGTTATTGTTTCAAGACAGGGTTTCTTTGTGTAGCTCTGGCTGTCCTGGAGCTCACTCTGTAGACAGGGCTGGCCTCGAACTCACAGACATCCACCTGCCTCTGCCTCCTAAATGCTGGGATTAAAGCCATGAGCCACCATCGCCTGGTTTATAAATAGATTTTTAAAAGTGACACACTTTTTTTTTTTTTTTTTAGTTTTTCGAGACAGGGTTTCTCTGTAGTTTTGGAGCCTGTCCTGGAACTAGCTCTTGTAGACCAGGCTGGCCTCGAACTCACAGAGATCCTCCTGCCTCTGCCTCCCGAGTGCTGGGATTAAAGGCATGCGCCACCACCGCCCGGCTGACACACATATTTCATAGCGTGTCATTGACCCTTAAAAGGAATTAAATTCTGACACATTCTACAATCCTGAAAACATGCTAAGTAAAATAAGCCAGACATAAACAGACAATCATTGCTATGCAAATACAGTCAGAAAGGAATAGACAGGTCCCAGAGACTGGAGGATGAGGTCATGGGGGATTATTGTGTGGTATAATGTTCCTGTTCTGGGAGAACGCCTTTAATCCCGGGACGTGGGAGGCAGAGGTTCTCTCCGTGTGCTGTAAGAGAGGGATGGAGAGCCCAGGTTGCAGAGTTGAGATAAGGTTTGAAGGTGATCTGTCTGTGACATGTCACCCCATTGATTGCCAGACTGGCTAGGCGGGTATCCTCATGAGTCTCCCTCCAGAAGCTACACTCAGTGGGAGAGAACTGTCTTTCACTAAGAGAGAAGGACCAGCTGGACGGTGGTGGCGCACGTCTTTAATCTCAGCATTCCATTCAGGAGGCAGAGGCAGACAGATCTCAGTGAGTTCAAAGCCAGCTTGGTGTACAAAGCAGTTCCAAGCCAGTTAGGACTGTCACACAGAGAAATCCTGTCTCGAAAAACCAGAAAGAGAGAGAGACACACACACACACCTGTCTTCAGCCAAAGTAATTACTTTCCCCTGTGCCAAACATGCTCTCAAGTAAATAAACAGATAGATGTTTAAAAAAGCAAAACAAAACAACAACAAAAACCGTTTTTATGTAACTTCACTTTTCACATACTTCCCAATACAATAGTAATTTCCCCAGTTGTTTCCCAAGTCCTGTGTCAGAAAATGCTGTTATTTCATTCGGGATCCAGCAAGACACTCCTTTGCTTTTGGTAACAGTGCAGTCTTTCAGTTTCTTCCATCTCCTTCACAGCCTTTCGGGAACTTTATCCTGAAGCAATCCTAAAAGCAGAAAGTGGTAAAAGGGCCAGAAATTTAGGGGAAATGTAGTTTTGAAATGTTGGAGGTTTTTGTTGTTGTTTTGTGCAACTCCCCCCCTCCCCCGCCATCCCTGCTTCCTAGCTTCTCCTTAGCCTTTTCCTCTGGCTTTTGTACTGGGCAGAAGTGGCGTGGCAATCTCTTCAGATGCATGCTGAAGGAGAGGGCCGGCACCTGGGTTGAGTGTGTGGAACTGCCCCTGGAAAGGAGATGAGAAAATTCCTGGACCTCCTCTCTGCACCGCCAACATTCTTAAACACTGGTGGGCTCTAGGCGGTAGAAGGCTAGTGGAGAGGCTTCCGGGTTGTGTGGGATGCAAGGACTCTGAGCCAGGACCAGGATGCACTAGACGGGTTTGTAACCTTAACAAGTAAAGCGCAGGCAGGAGCTAGGTCTCCCGGAGCTCTGGAGTCAGAAAGAGCCGCTTTAGTCCCGGCTGTCACCAGCAAGCCAAGTGACCTGAGTAAGATTTCTGGTTTCTCATCTGTCAGCTGATGCCTCTTACAAGGTGTGTATAAATTTCTAGACAAACCAGCATCTGTAAGATCAAGAGCAAAGTACAGGTTGGTGAGCCCCGAGTAAGAGACAGTCGGCTACCGTGTTTAGAAGATGCCGGCTTGTTTTTAAAACTGGATGCAAACCTGACATCATTCTGAAGAAGTCAGTGGAACCATTGACATTAAAAATAACCGAGGCACTGGGACTGTAGCTCAGTGGGTAGGGTAGCATGATAGGTGGATCATGCTAAAGGCCCTGGGTTTGATCCCCACCCCCATCTTCTAACCTGGGCACTGGCATACAACCCCACAGAGGATCAGCCAGCTTCTGGTCTCCCTGGGCTACCTAAGCATCTGCCTCAAATCAATCACTCAACAGAAAAGTTAGATCTTTCCTCATTCATCTTGTACGAGTATGAAGATGTTAAAGAAGAATACAAACACTGAGGTTCAGGTTCTTGGAGATGTAATCTCTTTCTTGTCAGCTGATGTAACACCTCCCTATGCCAGCATCACAGTGGCTGCCCCCAGTATGGAGGAGCTTGCCTGTGTCGGGTATGTTCTGGGGTTTCTGATGTTCTTCTTTCATGTCCACCAGCCCTTTCTTCAGTGTTTATCTCCCTCCTGTGGGACGGAAGTTCTAGTGAATTCCAACAGTCAGATACTTGTCCCTAAAATGAATTAGTTTTGTAGATCCATGTCTTCGAAACAACAGCTCCTGGGGAGTGGGAAGCAGAGGGCCTCTGTGTACAGGCTGTTCACCTGGAAGAGAAAAGTCAGGATTCCTCTCCGACTCCTCTCAGAGCAGAAAAACAAGAGCCCAGAGAGAACCACTTCTTAGATAGGAAGCCATTCTTGGTCGTACAGCCGCATAAGACCCAGGCATGACGACAATGCCGCTCTCAGAGCTACCGCAGTCTATTTGATAATAGATGCAGGCCAGCTTTGAGAATAGCAGGTGAGACAAGGAGGTCCAGCCTAGGCTACCAGGGAAAAGCCACGTCATGGCAGAGCTGGTGTGGCGAGGTCTGCAGAAGCAGATATGGGCAAACAGTCAAAGCAGAGGTTTTTCCCGCTGTGCCCGGACAGCCCCAGTCCCTTCTCCGCTCTATAGGGTCTTCACTGACCTCACACAACATCACAGTATTTGACACTCGTGATTTTACCCTGGTGTCAGAGAATCCCAAAACAATGTTACAGTTCACACTTTCCAAAGTTGCCTGTTTTGACTCTGGGAAACTTAAAGAAATAAAATAAAATAAAAACACAGGAAACCAAACCAAACAAAAAGACCTTAGATGTAAAAAGTTTGCTGACTTTGCAAGGGTTTCTCAGTTGACAATAACAGGAAAACAGGGCAGCTCAGTAGTTCATGGTCTTCCTGGGTGAGTCACTGAAGGGATCTTATCTAAAAGTTTTACACGACATTCATCCTGTGAAACAAAAAGTTAAAAGTCCTTGAAATGTTTTAACATTTCATCTCTCTCTGTGTGTATATGGGTGTATTGTTGGGAGCTGTGAACCCCCAGATCCTGAATTTCTTGTAAACAACTTGTTTTCCTCTACTTGAGACAGCCTGCAGCTGCTCTGAGCACCAGAACCTCAGAAGTTCCTGAAGGCAGGAGAGTGGGTCTGGTGGGTTTGGCTGGGGCGTGGCTGTTAGTTATGGATCCCTATATAAGGGGCTCTGGTACACAGTAAAGGGGGCATTCCTGTTTCAAGGATGATCCGTGTCTCTGTCTCTGTGTCTTTGTGTGTTTCAATCTCCAGCCCCTTGCCTGGTTCACGAACTATGGTGGTGCATAGAGCATAGACAGGCGTGGTGCACTGCAGTGTATGTGTGACTGTATACGTATGTGTGTGAAAATCGGGGAAAAAAGGCATTTCATCTCTGCCAGCAAGGTAACTCAGTGGACAGAGGTACTTGTTGCCAATCCTGACAAACTGACTTTAGTTCCCAGGTGGGAGAGACCTGACTTTCACAGGTTACACTGTATACACACACATACACACATAACATGTAATACACAAACAAATGAAAACTTGGGTTTTTTGTTTGTTTTTTTCGTTTTTTCAAGTCAAGGTTTCTCTGTAGCTCTGGATGTCCTGGAACTGTCTGTAACCCATGCTGGCCTCAAACTCAGAGATCTGCCTGCCTCTGCCCCCCAAGTGCTGGGATTTAAGGTATGCGCCACCACTGCCTGGCTTTAGTAAATGTAATTTTTTTGAAAAACCATTAGGAGCCAGGCTGATCCAAGGCTTTCCCTGAAGCTCTGATGCACGGAGAAGGAGCATGCTGCATTCCCCACTAAAGGGCTATAAGTTCCAAGGCTGCTGGGTCTGTGACTCACTTGAGATGCCCTGTGTTCCTTTGTGCAACATTGCTTGACTAGCTTCCTGCTGGCATTGCAATCCCTGGCAAAGCTGAAGCATGTATGGGCAGCCCATGTATGGTGGTTCTGTTGAATTTGATTTGTCCATATTAGGTTTCATGGTCTAAGTTGGTGAGGACGACTCACCAGTCTCTTCCTCAAGATGGCACCAGACCAGACCTCATTACAGATGGTTATGAGGCACCAGATGGTTGTTGGGAATTGACTCAGGACCTCTGAAAACCTTGTCTTGGAAAAAAAAAAAAGCTTTTATTATTTTTTCAGACAGAATCGCAGGTGTTATTCTTGCACAATAAAAGTGAACTCGGAGCCGGGCGGTGGTGGCACACGCCTTTAACCCTGTCTCGAAAAAAAAAAAAAAGTGAACTCGGTTTTCTAAATTTTGTTTCAATGTACACTTTTGTTCACACTAGCTGTTCGTATATGTCTTCTCTTGGTCACTCTAAATTTAAGAACACTTAGGAACTGTGTTACATGACTTCCTGGGGAGACATGAACAAATATCTCTTCCCCTAGACAGGGCATCAACCACAGGCCAAAAAAGAATTCAAGTCTAGTTTGACGAGTCAGTAGATCTATTGGGGTTACTTGCAGGAGCAAAAGTGACTGGCCAGTATCTGCGCCACTGAAGAACCCCACACACCAACATGGGTGGCAGCTTTCAAAAGCTGACGTTTCCTGGGGTAACATGCAAACAGATATGGATTAACCTTCCTTCTTCAAACAGTTTTGCTGTGGAGTTTTGTAGATCTCTTGAGTCTGGATGCCTTTCTCCTGGCAAGAGAAAATATTTCTGTCTGTAGGGAAGAGCTATGCAGCTAAATGGACAGTTCAGATTTTCCCTGGATAAGCTTCATACTAAATTTTTTTTTTTTTCGAGACAGGGTTTCTCTGTGGCTTTGGAGCCTGTCCTGGAGCTAGCTCAGTAGACCAGGCTGGTCTCGAACTCACAGAGATCCGCCTGCCTCTGCCTCCCGACATACTAAAATATTTTGTCCAAGGCTAGCAAGATAGGGCAAGATGGCTCAGACGGTAAATTTATTTAATTTTGTTTTATGTGCATTGGTGTGAGGTTGTCAGATCCCCTGAAACTGGAGTTACAGACAGTTGTGAGCTGCCATGTAGGTGCTGGGCATTGAACCTGGGACCTCTGGAAGAGCAACCAGTGCTCTTAACTACTGAGCCATTTCTGTAGCCCCGGGTAAAGGTATTTGCTGCCAACTTTGACATCCTCAGTTGAATCCCAGGACCGACATAGTGGAAGGAGAGGACACTATTTCAGCCCTCCACCGGCACATGCACACACATGCACACACGCACGCATGCACTTTTCCTCACGTAAAATGTGGGAAACAAAAAAACATGCCTAAACTGGGCGTTGGTAGCGCATGCCTTTAATCCCAGCACTCGGGAGGCAAAGACAGGGAGATCTCTATGAGTTCTACAGCGTGGTCTACAGAACAAGTTCCAGGACAGCTTCCAAAGTTACAGAGAAACCCTGTCTCAAAAGAAAGAAAGGAAGAAAGAAAAGAAGAAAGGGAGAGAGAGAGAGAGACCTAGATTCAATAAGCGAACATATACAATATCTCTAGCCCAAAAGTACACATGGCATGCTTGAAATAAATTTGAAATGCATCGCTAAGAAGTGACCCCCAATTACCTACCTAATCCCAATGCAGTTACAAGAACAGAAGTCACGGTAACTTTCTTAACAGAAGTGTAATATCCAGTCCATAGACAAGCTTCCCTTACTGACCCTTGATGCATTTTGCAGCTTGGGCCCCCTGCAAACAAGATGTTGTACAGGACACACGTTGCATTTGCTCCTGAGTTATAAAATCTAACTCATAGTCTCTGAAGCGCGGTAGAACTTGCGCTCCAGGCATCAAAATAGACTTTCCATAGTATGTTACTATTCCCTAAACCTTCCAAACACACCCGGATGAGCCAACTGAGCAGACGCGGAGCATTCTGGGAGATGTAGTCTTAATTAGCTAGGGTTACTGCGCAGCCTTCTGGGAATCCATCGCAAGCTCACTTAGCCCTCGCCTAGCTTTGCACGCGAGTGCAGGCTTCACAAGGCTTCGCTGGACTTCTCTGTCTTTTTGCTGCCTAGGTGAGAGCAGAGCCTCGCTGTGGACTCCAAGGCTTTGAGGGTTGCAAGGAGAACCACTCCTATGGTTGGGGCCGTCCAGAAGACTGATCCTGAGGGAAGAAGCTCCCTGAGGATGGAAAACAGAAATCGCCGCGGGACTGGAGCGCACAGTGTGGTCAGGTAGAGGACAGTATAGTTGTAGCCTTGACCCGCAAACCTGCCACGATTGCGAGTGGGTCCCTTAAAGGCCCAGGCTCAGGATTTTTTTTTTTTGTCTTGCAGCATATTTTAGGATTTTTTTTTTTATAGCTGTTTCATCACTAAAGAATGAGTGTTGGATGAGGTTCCAAAGGGCGATGGATTCAATATCAGAGACACTTCACTCTCCGTGAAATTTCTAAACTCATACTCGTCAGGAAGCAAAGCAGCCAGCCCTCACAACACTAGACTGATTGTGAAGTAGGTGTGGGCAGACTCACTGAAAAACTGGGCTTTCTGGAATAGCCCCAGGGCCTGCGCTCTATGTCAAAGAACTTTTCCATTCAAAAATAATTACACTATGGAGAACACTCCTATCAGTTTGATTCCCAGGCCTGAATCATCTTCTCCTGGTCAAACGGACTGTGTGTGGCAGAAGGAAGGAGCCTCAGGGTAGGGGTTCCACCCAAAAGAGAAGTCTTTCCCCTATTAGAGGCAATAAGTTCCCTTGCCCAGAGAGGGAACAGCCTAGAGCAATAGGTACTATGATGGTAAAGGCTGTAGATGAACCTATAGAAGGAAGTTGTTGCCCAACTGCAACAACCACCCAGCTGCAACAAGCATTCTTAATTGCTGAACTGTTTTTCCAACCTCATCAAAGCTAACTTGGGTTTTTTTGTTTGTTTGTTTGTTTTTTCGAGACAGGGTTTCTCTGTAGCTTTTGAGTGTGTTCTGGAACTTGCTCTGTAGACCAGACTGGCCTCAAACTCATAGAAATCTGCCTAACTCTGCCTCTCGAGTGCTGGGATTAAAGGCATGCGCCACCACTGCCTAGCCAAAGCTAATCTTTAAATAAATGTTGTGACCAAACTTGGTGGTACACACATAAAATCCTAGCGCTCATGAAACAAACATAGGATCACAGCAAGATTGCAGCAAGCTTGGTTTTATCAAGTTCAAGGCCAGCCAGGTTTACACAGCAAGATGCTGTCTAAACTTAGCAAAAATCAAATTGCTAGTGTCTCTGCCCCGGGTGTAAGAGAAACAGGAATGACAGCAGTGACTCCAGCTTGCCACATGTTGGCCCCATGAAGGCTAAGGCAGAACATGAGGTCTGTCTGGGGTCCACAAGGAAACCCCACCTCCAACAGACAAACCAAACAACAGAAGGGGCGGGGTGTTAATGATAATCTTCCTGAGGCATGTCCATCACTTGCTGCTCTCGGAAGGGAGTGGAGCTCAGGGAAGTATCAGCTGTAGGTACAGATAAGGTCGTAAGTCTGGTGAACTTCTGACCTACTTCATACTTCACCACATCCCATAGGACAAATGTTTTCTGGGAACTGAGACCAGCAACAAGCTCCAAAGACAGTAACTCTCAGATTTGTTTATCTCTCTCTGTTTCTTGCTGGGCGGTGGTGGCGCACACCTTTGATCCCAGCACTCAGAAGGCAGAGGCAGGTGAGCTAGTTCCAGGACAGGCTCCAGAGCTACAGAGGAACCCTGTCTCAAAACAACAACAACAACAACAACAACAACGAAGAATGCTTATTGCCCTTCTAGAAGACCTGAGTTCAATTTCTAGAACTGGCAGCTCACGAGTGTTATAACTCCAGCTCCAGGGAATCCACCTCCTGGGACTTCAGCTCCCTCTTCTGGCCTTCACTGGTACTACACTCACTTGTACAAACCCCTCACACATGCACCTACACACAGGTAAATAAAAATGAATACGTATTTTTTAAAGATTTGTTTGATGCAAAGCAACCACATTTAGATGCCCAATGGAACCTAAAGCATTGAAATCAGGGAAGAGATCTTAGTTGGCCTTTGTATAAGGGACAATGCAGTCATCCCAATAACAACTTTGAAAGACAAGCTATGTCTCTTCTCCTTCAGTGCACACAGAGGATGTAGTATCCAAGTGGGGCTTTCAACTCCATTTTCAGGGGAAAATAAAACAGATTGAGGTAGACAGTTTGTCTCATTCTCAACCTTTCAGATTAAACTGTTACAGGGCCTCTGTGTCATCTGAGGATGTGACTGCGGAACTCGGCTGAGAGGTGTGACAGCCATGGGCCTTTCTCAGAGGACCCTGTACAGAAATGTGATGGGGAGAACCACGGCCATCTTCTTGCCGTGGGTGAGTGGTTAAGTGCACAGCTCACATATGTGCCAACGTGAATACTTGTAACACAAACACCTGGTCTCATTCTTACTTTTGTTATAGTTTAGTCCAAGCTGGTCTCAAAATCAGTCCTACTACTTGGGTGGTCACAGGTGCCGCCATGCCAAATATTACTCAAAAGGTTTGATTCAGGAATCCAGAGTAACTAAGCCCTTGGAAGACAACAAAGAACGTGTGTGTCATCAATACCCGGGGATAGATTCTACTGAACACCCTCAGGAACCCACTCCCCAATCTGTATCTCCCCCACTTTGGAAGATCAGAGATCTCATAGTTTGGGCTGGACTTCGGCCCTCACTGCCAATAGCGTCTTTACCTCCAAACTGATCTTCAAGTTGCAACAAGGAGAAGCACCTTGAATTTCAGAGGAGAAATTTTCAAACTGCAGTCACCCAGGTGAGCTGCTGAACACTGATAAATAGAACTAGCAGTGGTTGTTAAACCCAGGAGACTCAGTTTAGGGGCAAATACCTTTGCTTTGCAAGGCTTGTGTGAGAAGGCTAAAAACACAAAAAGTCAAAATAGTGAAAAATTATCGATAAACTTGACTCTATCAAAAATTTAAACCTTCTGCCAGGCGGTGGTGGTGCACTCCTTTAATCCCTGTACTCGGGAGGCAGAAGCAGGCAGATCTCTCTGAGTTCAAGGCCAGCCTGGTCTACAAAGTGAGTTCCAGGACAGCCAGAGCTGTTACACAGAAAAACCCTCTACACACACACACACACACACACACACACACCCCTTTCTAATGCTGGGTGTGGCAGTACTCTTGAGGTCTCAACTACTTGGAATACTAAGCTGGGAGAATTGTTTAAGTCCAAGAGTTTAAGGGCAGCCTGAGCAGCATAGCAAGACCCTGGCTCAAAAAGAAAAAAAATTTTAATTAATTTTGAGAGGGGTCTCACTATGTAACTTTGACTGGCCTGGGGCTCACTATGTTGACCAGTCTGTTTGGAACTCACAGAGATTCACTTGCCTCTGCCTCTCCAGGCTAGGATTAAAGGCATGCTCTACCACACCTGGTCAAATAATTTTAAAACTTTGTTTCTAGCTGTGCAGTGGTGGTGCACACCTTTAATCCCAGAATTTGGGAGGCAGAGACGGGTGAATATCTGTGAATTCAAGGCCAGCCTGGTCTACAGAACAAGTTCCAGGACAGGTTCCAAAGCTACAGAGAAACTCTATCTTGAAAAATTAAAACAAACAAAAACCAAGTTGTTTATATTAGGTAACATTATGGCTCTGTCTTGGTTAAGGTTTCTATTGCTGCAATGAAAAACCATGACCAAAAGCAAGTTGGAGAGGAAAGGGTTTATATGGCTCACATTTCCACGTTGTAGTCTATCATCGAAGGAAACCAGAATAAACACTAAAACAGGCAGGAACCTAGAGGCAGAAACTGATGCAGAAGCAATGGAAGGGAGCTGCTTACTGACTTGCTCCCCATGGCGTGCTCAGCCTATAGAGGACCCCCAGCCAAGGGATGGCACCAACTACAATAGGCTGGGACCTCCCCCATCAATCACCAAAGTTCCTCCTCTCAGATGACTCTAGCTTGTGTCAAATTGACATAAAACTATCCAGCACAGGCTTGAGAAATGGCTCCATAGAGTGTTTGTCATACACGCATGAGGATCTGAATTAGAATCCTCAGCAACCACATTAAATATATAGTCATGGTCACATGTGGCTGTAACCCTAATATTAGGAGACACGCAGATTCTAGGAGGCCAGCCATCCTAGACAAGACGATTAGTTTTAGACTCAATAAGAGACCCTGTCTCAAATAAAATGAGACAGGAAGACACTGATATATATATATATATATATATATAATATACTTCTGACCTCAGCGTGAATAGGTACAATACCTTAAACAAAAGTAAAAAAAAAAAAACAAACCTTACATTTGTATCAGTATGTGAAAAATACCTTAAACAAGAGTAGAAACATTTGTTTTAGTTAAGGTTTTTATTATTGTGAAGAGACACTCTGACCACAGCAACTTTATTGTTGTTTTGTTTTTGTTTTTAGAGGCAGGGTTTCTCTATGTAACAGCACTGGCTGTCCTGGAACTCACTCTGTAGACTAGGCTGGCCTTGAACTCACAGAGATCTGCCTGCCTCTGTGTCCCAAATGCTGGGATTAAAGGCGTGCCCCACCACCCCCTGGTGACCATAGCAACTTTTATAAAGAAAACATTTAATTGCGGAAAGTTGCTTACAGTTCAGAAGTTTAATCCACTACTATGATGGGGAGCATGTAGGCATGCAGGCAGGGGTGGTGCTGGAGTTACAGCTGAGATTCCTATATCTTGTAGGCAACAGAAGTCGACTGAGACACTCAGTGGTATCCTAAGCATGGGAATCCTCAAAGCCCACCCCTGCAGTGACACATTTCCTCCAGCAAGGGCACACAAATTCCAACAAAGACATATCTGCTAATAGTCTATTTCC